CAGCAAAAGGAAGACAGATGCTGGAGCCTGAGGTTCTGATGCCAGGCAGGTCTGCTTATTAACTGTGTGACCTTGAGCAACTGACTGATCTCCCTGTGCTTCAGGACATGTAAACAGAGGTCACCACAACTCCTTGGCAGGCTGAGTCTGTGAGAAATGTCTGCAGTAGGGACTACTTACTAGGAGCCATGATTGCATCACATCCTAGAGTAACCCCAGACAACCGAGTAACATTCCTAACACCATGAAGAACTGCAATTACGATTGCAAAACAGAAAGGTATTATCAGTTACTAATGTCCTTTAGCAGCATTCTTTCATTTTAAATTAGTTCATGTCAAATAAATCTATTTCACCAGTCAACTTATTCAGCTACTTGGAGGTACCCGTGTGGGTACACCAGGAGACCATGTGGTTTAAAAAGAGTACTCCAGGAGAGCCTATGGTCAGTCACAGTTTCCCTTTTGTACAGCAGGCTATTGATATTCCTCATTTTGAAATCTTTCCAGGCCTTTTCTACCCTGCATGATGCGGTATTCCATAAATGTGCCAACTGTATTCACCACCAGGAAACAAAAGGAGACTTAAAAAAACAACAGATGATCATCAGGGAAAACAAGAGAACTTCTCTACCCAAGGCATTTTCAACTCAGAGAGACAAAGAGGCAAACATCACATCCTGGAAAAAAACACTTGCAGTCCTAGCCCATGTGGTTCAGTTGGCTGGGCGTGGTCGGTCCCTTGCACCTAACTGTCCGATTCCCAGTCAAGGTACATGCCCGGCGCTGCAGGCTTCATCCCTGGTAGGAAGCATGCAGGAGGCAGCTGATAGATGTTTCACTCTCACATGGATGTTTTCTCTCTCCCCCCTTCTCCATTCCTCTCTCTCTAAAAATCAATGAAAATATTAAGTGCACCCTCCACCCCAACCCCTTGTCTCCTCACACCTGGACTCTGACCTCAGCGTGGGAGCCTTCTGGGCCTTCCTCCTCAGAGAGGAAACCTCCAAATGCCTTGCTCTAAACTCCCAAAGTCCTGCTGGGAAACAAGCTATTTAGAAAAGACCAGTCAGAAGAGCATATATGTGAATTACATCTCAGTAAGAGTCAACCCTCTAATGTTCTACAGGAGCCACCAAAGATTCCTAATCTTATCCTCCCAAGATTCCTAACTTGGGGACTGAAAAAATTAGTCAATCACTTCAAAGTGAGACAATGGAACAACACACAGGACACACCAGGCCATTGTTATCCAGCACACAAACCAATCACCGGTGCATATTTTCACTGAGTAGCACCCTGAATCTTCTCCAGAACTTGGCAGGAGTAGAAATCACTGGACTTTGCTAACAGCCTTCCAGTGAAGAGCTGGTCAAGAACTGCCCTGGTCCCAGCTACTCTTTTCTCGCCATAACCGGTCCTGAGGCCACTAGTCTTGACCACCTCCCCACTCTTCTGGTAGCACAGTGACTTTTCTAAAAGACAAATCTAACCCTGCTACTTCCCTGCTTAGAACTCAGCTTAGTGACTTCCCATTTGGCCCTGAGATAAATTCTGAATTCCTTAACAGGGAAGCACACCAGACGCTTTGGTGACCTGGTTACCACTTACCCCTCCAGTCCCATCTCCTGAACAATCTGTACTTCAGTCTCAGGTAATTCCTCTTTCCCCCCATCCTCACTGCTCAGCCCCACCAGGGCCTGGGCCAGGCTTATTTTGTTCACTGCTATACCCCACGAAGGAAGCCTGGCCCACAGAAGACCTCAAACATGCTGACTTAGGATATTAAAGAATGCAATTCTCAAAAGGGGTGGGGGGAAAATCTTTGAATCAGAGCTGGACACTCAAGTTCAGACACTGCCAGAAGCCAGCACTACATCTCTCTACTTGAATGTTCCCATTTCACCTGAAACCCATAGATAAAGCCGAAGCCCACGTCTCCATACCCATTTAAATTAAAAACAAAACACAAGAACAAAAATAAATTAAAAATCCCCTTCACTGTCTCTTGCCTTTCATTACCAAAGGTCCCCCAACGCCAGGTCACTGAACTCGAAGGCCTGCGGTCCTCCAGCCAGGAAAGCGAGGTTCTGGATTCGCTCTGCCGGCAACCAGCTGGCCGAGTGACCTTGGGCAGCCCGAGCCGAGTGCAGGGGCTGCAGAGCCGAGACCCTAAGCCTGGCTCCGAGGGCTCGGCGCAGAGGCGGAACAAAGGTATGACTGTGAATGGAGCCGGGCGCGGACCAGGATAAGACAAAAGCCAACCCCCCCATAGAAACGGCTGCGGCGGACTCCGGGCTGCTCCGGGATCCCCGCCCTCACCTCCCACCTCGACGGTCCAAGGGTGGGAAGCGGCCTTCGCCGAGGACTGTTCCGGGTCTCCAGCCTCGGCCCGAGACCCCGGTTAACCTTCAGGCACCTGTCGACAGGCACCCCAGGGGCGGGCCTGCGCCGCGCAGTCACGGGTTCCACCAACGACCGGAAGCGGAGGATTTACCAAGCTCAGGGCCCAGCTGGGCGCCCCGGCGCGGCCCCCGCCCCCTCCAAACCTGGGGAAGGCTCGGCCACGAGGTCCAGGCGGACTCGCAGGCCCACGACCGCGGGGACCAGCGCGAGCACACAAAGGAGGCGGCGTCAGCAGGAGACAAAAACCTTGCCCAGGGCTTCCCCCGAACGGCCCGCAGCCCCGCGCCTTGGGCCGCCCGGCCCGACTCTCCGAGTGACCTTGGGAGCGTCCATCCCCCTCACGGCCTCGGTTTCCCCGGCTGTGCTCCTGAGCGCTGCCGGCTGCCGGCCGCCGCCCGACCAAGCAGCCGAGACCCAGGGCGAGGCCTCCCCGCTTTCGTTGCCCGCGCGGATGGCGGGGCGAGCGGGCG